TTATGAACTTAGAGGTTTTATATAACCTGAACAACTCTTACTTATCACTGGGGATCGACTGACCGAGGTTGTTTCTGTATTTTCTCTGCACTGTATATGTTTGTTTTTACTTACATGACACTTTAACATTCATGCCAGGTCAGAAAGGTGTTTCATAACAGCATTTTGAATGCTAATTTGATTCATTTGGCTGATATATGGACTTAATAAATAAGTGAAGCTGCAGTGGATTGATGCTTCATAATAGCATGGAATGTAAATGGCCCACTGGGACTTCAGTTAAAGAGTGTCCAATTTCATGCTCCTGTAAGAGGTAGATACCATAAATACACTCTACAAAGGGTAACATGACAGTGTCATGGTTGCACCGAATACGGAGCAGGACTACGACTCCCATCAGCCACTGTACGTCATATGGTCACGACACTCGTATCACATGACTGCACCTGATTCACGTTCATGTTTAATGAACACTAGTATTTAAGTCATGCCTTGTATAGCACTCGTTGTCTAGATGTTGTATTTTGTTGTCGTTGTCGGTTGTTGCTGTCTCCTATTCATGTCGAGTTCATGAACTTCGCTACGCCTTCGCTACGCCTCGTTTTGTTTCATGGTCTTTATGTTTTGTGCGTTTTCACTTATAATAAACTAAATCTGCACCTGCATCCACCTCCCCCACCATTCCGTGACAGACAGATGGACACTTTATAGAAGATTTCACAATACTTCATGAGACTAAATAACTGCCAAGATAAAAATGAAAGAACTGACAGATATAACATGATCATTGAAACCATTCTTCTCTCTTCCATCTTTCATGCAAAGACAAAGCCATATACCTCATAAATTTCATAAAACTCCTGTCATCTCATCGGTACTGATATAAGCCTTAAATGACATAAATCATCCAGTATTTGATTCATAAAATATGCGTGCAATCCTTATAAATTAGCTCTTGTTGAGCTGCACATGCTATTCCTGAGATACCAGTGATCCTGACCTCTTCTGCTCTCCGGACCTGCCTGAGCCATCCTGATGCCCTACTTCTGGCTGGAGTTCTCTTCGTTTGAGATCGCTCGCTCCTGCTGGGGGTGGGCCAACATGGACGGTCTGGAGATCGTTGGGATTGCTGGGGATGGTGCCACTTGGGGGCCGTGGAGATGGCTTGCGGAGATGTACTGTGATGGCTTGGGACTGCGGTTGCTACGGGAAGCTTTGTACTCAGGACTCCATCAGTGGACAGTGGGTAGGTTCAACAAACCGGACTTCCCGTGAAAATTGTGATGAATTTACTGGTTGCACAGTTGCACTATTTGTCCGTGTAGTACACAGTTATAGAAGGGATTTATTTATAATTGCACTATCCATTATGGCCCAGATGAGGTTCCCTTTTGAGCCTGGTTCCTCTCAAGCTTTCTTCCTCATGTGGTCTCAGGGAGTTTTTCCTTGCCACTGTTCCCTCTGGCTTGTTAAAAGCGCTGTACAAATAAAATTGAATTGAATTGAATTCTAAATGTGGTAAGAAGCCCCAGTGGTAAAGATAATGTGACACACTGACTGGATGGAGAACAGAAAAAAAAAAACCCAAAAAAACCTCGCTGCTGAGGAAGGAGTGATTTAGTACTGCTACATATCGTCCACTCGGCAGTTATAACCATTTGATGTACTTACCAGTTCAGCTAACACAAGTTTGCAGCCCAAATCACTCTTGTCATTATTACTTTGCAGTCATTATAATTTTATTAATCACTGTCTGGATTTCGAATTACAGGCTTGCAACATATAGAGAAGTGGGAATCTGATATATTTGTGGGAATCTGCAGCACGTTTATTATTATGTAACAGCACATAGATAGAAATATATTTACATATTACTGTATATAGTATTATATATAGTAATATATAACAAAACACATTTCTGTTCTGTAAAAGATTTAATTCCTGGATCCATAGTGTGTGGCTGAAAATAGCTCTAAAGCCTCTGTCCGCTTCTTTCCAACGTATAGTACGTCCACTATCACGTTATGGTTCGTATTAAAGCCCGAGGCACGTGTTCTAAACACACACAAGAACACACACATACCAATTCACATTTGTTTCACATTCGGCACAGGATGTGACTCATCCACTTCTGATGTTTTAATTATAACCTGGCAAAAATCCGTGACCAGACAAGAATCCCTCAGGAGATTTAGGAAGTCGGAAGGTTAGACAGATCTAGAATAGAGAATGTTATTGGCTGGGGATGAGCAATAGTCAAGTCTCTGTAGCGATTTAGAAAGACCTATATAGAACTACGACTTGCGCTATATGGCCAAAAGTTTGTGGACGCTTGACCATCGCACCCATATGTGGTTCTTCCCCAAACTGTTGCTACAAAGTTGGAAGCACACACTTGTATAGAATGTCTTTGTATGTTGTAGCATTACAATTTCCCTTCAGCGGAACTGAATACTTTTGGCCGTATAGTGTACACTTCCAATAACATGCTTGCACTATATGTCTTATGTAGCTGGTCCAAAATGTGTTATGTTGTAAACTTGTGATAGGATTATTTCACACCATTATTGACAACCAAAGCATAACCAAAAACAAAGCAGAAGCTACTGCTCCTCCCAGCCCTACAATGTCACCCTGATCATGTCTCCGTATAGCTCCAGTTCCAGAGACAATCTCCTATTATATGCTTAATAGTCTCAACTGCAGCGATTTCACCCATGGCTCACAAAGTATCTGAGATCTTTTGTACCCTTTTCAGGCCACAAGCTTCAGAATATTGGAGAATTTGAGCACACGTTTAAATATTTTTTTCATATGTCTTAAATATCAGTGCTACTAACTGGCATACAGGAAAGCACAGTATTTAGCTTCATCAGAAATTCATTTATCCGAATCATATTGTAACATTAGTACCGTGATACTGGAGCACAACAGAAGGTGGGCATGTGACATAGTTGGCAGCAATTTTTACCTCTTTGCCAAAGAGTCAGTTCCCTTGCCAAGAGAGGTGTCCACGTTTTGTTTTAGCTAAACAAAACGTTCTTATATTTCTACACAGAAATAAAGCATTGCTTAGTAGCACAATGGTGTGCTTGTGCTCCTGGAAAAAACTATTATTTTTTTTTTGGGTAAGTTTTATTGGGTAGGAAAGCTTCAGGTAGGTAAATGGTCGAATCCAATATGATCCCGCACTAAAATTCTATAAATACATGTTTAACAAGCAAAGGTGCAAAGGTGTTTCTTTCCCTTTCATATGAATGAAGTCATGAGAAAAGGGACAACTACTAAATTTTTATGACTATTAAACTTTTTATGACTCATGATTTGAGTCACGCCAGCTGAGATATGCGATTTTTAAAAAAAAATTATTATTATTATTATTATTTACAAATTAAAACAAGCAACTGTGTGGTTGGAATTCATTGGATTTCATATGCATCAAGTTGTAAGAAAAGGTTCGAATGCTTAATTCAACCCCAGCCTTAACCGTAACCTTCATACATGCGTACGTTTGCATTTGTGAGACTATGGCAGTGTCTAATGCTTTTTCCAGACTGAAATGATGTACCTATAAATCGGAACTAGATTAATAAGTGCCTTATTATTATTATCTTCTATATAAACCCACATCTCTACAGAAGCTCTATCTTCCCACTGTCTTTTTTTTTTTTTTTTTCCCAAAGTGGTAAAAAGAGCTACATATAATACATGATTGGATCCAGTTTGAGCCATCACAACCACTAATGTCACCACTAAAACGCTACTGGAAAATACCACTTCTCCTAAAAGGGCCAGTCCACCACTGGGATAATACATTTCCCCACAGTTTCCTCAGTTTGGTCTGCCACCCATACACAGTATGCGCCTTAATACCCAATAAGGAAAACCCTTCTCGAGCATTATGAACTATCTACACTGTGTGATTGCCTGAATTTGGATATAGAAATATTTTGGAGGGAAGGGGAATTGCCAAAATTCTTGTTTTTGTCATTATCCTCTAAAGCAAACAGGCTTTTTTTGATTGGCATTTCAGGAGGTGTTGTTTTTTACAATATAACTGACTAAACAAATGGCACCAATAAATCAAAATTCCTGTCAGCAGACAAGGGGAAGACAAATGGTGTTTTGGTCTTGGGCCTCGATCAGTCAGTTCAGTGGGAATGACGTAACACCCTGCCAATAGATTAGCTCTAACAAACAACTAACAATTAGCCTAAAAGCAGAACAGTTTTGCTAATGACATTTAATTATTATTATTTTTTTTAATCCCAGAGGTGTTAATGGTTTTTCCAGTGGAAAATGAAAGAAATCAGTTTGTTCTTTCAGGCCCAGCTGGTTAATTTAACACTGTACATGATAGAGATTCTGAGCCATATAATATTATATAATATAATTTTATATAATATATATATATACCAGTTAGTTACTGTAATTAATATTTACAGCATCTTTACTGTAATATTTGTTTACAGCAATGCCAAGTTGTACTGTGTAGTTTCAATAAAGTATAAAACTATTTTTTAGAGGATAATATATTGTAAACAGTATATTACTGCAAAAACAAAACAAAACAAAAAAACAATTTTCTAGTTTCATTGTCTTAAATACATTTGAAAAAAGGTGAAAATCCTAACCATAAACTGTGTTTATTAAAACAACCATTTCGTTCAGGTCGCAAAAACATAAGATATCAAATGATACACATAAGAACTTGCTAAATGAACAAAGTTACACAATAGGAAATTGCTAAAATGAAAAATAAGAAAGAAGAAAGAATACTGAACAATAAGAAAATGAACAACAGTGACAGAATCAGTAGGTCAGAGTTATCAATCAAGCAAATATGTCCTACTGTAACAAAAAGAATGACTGTAAATTTTACAGTCATTTACTGGTAGCAGGTTAAATTTTTTTTTTCAGTGCAATCTTTGGAAAAAAAAAACAGCTTTAAGTTAATTCAGTGCTAGAGGTGGGTGAATTAATGCAAGGTAGCTGAGCTAGTTGTGGTGGCTCAGTGGATAAGGCTTTGAACTGCTGATCAGAATGTTATGTGTTCAAATCCCAGCACCTCCAAACTGCCATGTTTGGGTCTTTGAGCAAGACCCTTAAACTTCAGGTCGAGTGTAAGATGAGGTTCTTTTGTTTCATAAGTAAGTTTCACAGTAAAGTTAATGATATCGTATGTATACTGAGTTATTACAGTATAGTCACAACACTGTTATAGTACATATACAGTAACACCTTAATACAGTATAATCTGGCAGTACTGTAAATATTTTACCAGAATACTACAGTATCGAATTTGGGAAACACACTGAAAGTATCACACTGTTATAATATAGTAGAAATCACAGATATCCCTTAGAGTGTGCAAAAGACACGTGAGGAGAATGCAACACTTCTGATTTAATCCAACATCTCATGAGGTCAACGCATAAGTCAGGCCAAACGTAAATATTCCAATTCAGTTGGAATGAATCTGAACAAAATATCCCATAATATTGAAGTGTGTGTGTGTGTGTGGGCATGGTGGGGGTGGGGGTCAATACACTTTACAGACTTAGTGACCATAAAATTTGTGATTGCATTGTCCAGGTTGTCATAATACAAAATGTGGACAAGTTTAAGGGGGGTGAATACTTATGTAAGGCACATAACATCTACAGGTATGTAGAATGAGAAGTGTAGCACAATACAATATACGAAGTGCAGAAATAGGGGACGCAAACGTGAGTGTTATTGTTTTAATCTCTTGGTCCAGCCTCCTATTTTTAGTTCTCACTCTTTCCTGATAAGTACGAGTATGAAAAGATTTTTTTGAAAAACAGGTTAACAACATTAGTAGTGTTTGTCATGTTTGTGCCAAAAACGCAGCTAGGCTGCTAACTAGCTTGGCCAATTTTACTGAAGAAGATAGTGACAGCTAGCTGGCTAGACCTATAAATAAACAAAAAACAACTGCAATTTTTTTTTTAAGAATACTTACCAATTACAACGACAAAAATAACAAGCTACGCTAGTTGTGTAAAATTGTTATGGATTCCGACTGATTACTGACTGACAGCTGCAGAGCTGGGCATATTGTTTGTCTGACATGTTCATTACCGTTTCAACGATTGGCAGTTGGTTATGAGGTTCAGCCCCTTTGTGAGAGTAAAGCCACGCTTCAGTGGCGTTCTACGGGTGCTGTGTTGGGGGCTTCAGAGGAGAGGAGATGTTCATGCAGGCTGTGCTGACCACCGAAAACAGTTTGTGTTAAATGAACGAAAACGAACAGTGCAATCTTGCAGCAAGATATTCGATCATTTGATTTGTTATAATATTAAATTTCACTAAAAGCGATGAGCAATATGGACACATTTTTACTTTTTCAATCTTTAATGAAATTTTAGGGGAGGCCCGCCTTTCCATGTAGTCTTATAGCAATCGCCAACTACATACTACATATACATAACCGCATACTACAAACTAAGCATATAGTACACACTAACCTCATAGAAGTACATAGAGCACAAATTTAAGAAGACGTTTAAAATGTGATAAAAATGCTGTTCAGCTGTGTAGGATGAAAACTATAGATATATAAAATACACAAAAATATTTTACACGTTACTCATGCTTGAGGCTCGGGGAGAAGCACGGGCTTCTTAACCTAAAGAAAAGGAGAGAAGAACGAGCGAGGACGACAATAGTCCTTTGACAGAGATGTGACCTGTCTCTTTTCTCTTCTCTGCGTGTCTTTATGGCCCCCCTACAGGGCTTCCGTCGTGTCCAAGCCTGAGAAGACTAGCATGAGAGCAGCGTAAATCAGGTTTGGACAGGCGATGGGGACAATCCTAAAAAAGACCCATCTATTTCTTATTGCACTCCCCTAAACCTGTAGCTCTCCTCTATTCAATCTCCCTGTTCTCCAGTTCCAACCCAAGCTGTCACCTTTTCTACGGAGCCTCAGATGGCCTTACTGAGCAAGTAAGGGTGAGAAAATAGAGAGGAAAAGGAAAAAATGGGTGAAAGCGGGTGAGAAAGAAAGACAGAGAAAACACAGATAGACAGCTCCATTGACACAGCACTCTCGCGTTTTCTTTAACAGCCTTATTAGCTGGCCTGTTCAGAGTGAAAGAGGACGTTTCTTTTCTTAGAGGAAAAAGAGGCGAGCAGCCAGTCTTTCTTAGAGGGGGGGAGAACTGGAGAAAAAGCAGAGGCGAAAGCATATTAGCTGGCGCTCCCTCCCTTTTCAAACCCACATGCCTCTGTTTTTTGGGGGTGGGGGAGAGAGGGGTTCAGCAGGAAAGCGGTCCTTGAAAAAAGCTTTAACCAATGGAAGAGACAGCATGGAGAAGGAAAAAGTAGGGGTGAAAGTAGAGCACAGTAGGAGGCCTCTCTGTCTCTCTGATGTTTAGGGCTTATTGATAAAGGTGCCCACTTCCTCTAAAGTGTAAGTACTCAAACGTAAAGGCTCATGAAAACTAGGACTGAGCAATACGGACACTCCATTGCTATCATGCTGCTCTATATTGTGACTTATTTTATTTGAAAAACGAACGCTTCTTGGATCATTTGTGTCACAAATTCACACTCATTCCAAGTTTCGTTCAAAAAGACCGGTGAGGATGCTCACAGTGCACAACGCCAACGACAAGCACTCGTGAGACGGCTCGTCTGCAGCCTCTGTATTGTAAAGGCCAACGCTGTGCTGTTGTCTCTGTGTATCCTTGTGTATATAGGCTCTTTTTTAGTAGAAAGGCTTGCTGTCATTGGTTAAAGTGTTTGGGGTATGTCCCAAATTGTGGATGTTCATTAACAAAAAGGTCCACAGTCAGATACGAATAATGAATGACAAAAATAATGAATAAGAAAAATTGGATACACACTCATGCATACAGTACAAGGGTACTAAAGGGTACTAAAGGTGGATATAGTGTACTGGTGAAAGTGTACATATAGTGTATAGGTAAAAGATATATATGAAAGGTACAAGAGATAAGGGTCTATAGCAACAAGTACCTTTTTTTTTCGGAGACCGTAGGTCTAATGGTCTTTATGCTGCGTTCAATGCAAAGTTATAACATGTAATTCCCCAACTACAACTTGTAAAAGCCAGTGAAAACACCCCCTCAGCTTGCAATTTCAACTCATCAACTACCAGTTCCTTCCCTGTTTACCGAGTCACTTCAAATCAACATGGCCGCTCACACTGTGAACAGTGTAAAGTCCTGATTCTCTACTTTTAAATGAGTTTATAACAGTATTGGCTTTACATCGGTTAATATACAGACACGGTACTTGGTTAAGTCCGTAACACTGACCATATTAATCACTGTTTTTGAGAAGGTAATCATCAACATTATAATCAGAGTTATCACTAACGTTAGCAGGTTAGGTTTTGCTAACGCTTCTCGCTATTGTCTACTGGCTAGCTTGTTGCTAAGCTACTTGCTATTGTCCGCTGTTGTTGCTGTACTGCATTTTCAGTCCAATATGTTGCATGAGTGTCTGAAGTTCACTAAACTATAACAGTACCAATAGCTCCTCAGACCTGTAGCTATAAAAGTGTGGTTAAAGTAGCTTTTCATGAGCTCTCACAGAGCAAACAAAATGCTTTCATAGAGGTGTCCATATATTTTTTTTTTTCACTTCTCACGCTGAACATCCCGAGTTAGGAAATGACATTGTTACGACTTGCAAATTACCACTTACAAGGTACCACAAATGCAGCATTAGCTACTGGGGAAGTAGGCACTATAACATGATTAAGTCTATAACCCTTAAAGGAAAACTGACTGTTTTGAAGGTAATCATCAACATTAGAGTTATCACTAACGTTAGCCGGTTAGGTTTTGCTAACGGCGCTCGCTATTGTCCGCTGGCTAGCTTGTTCAAACATTCAGAAACACTTCAAACATGTTTACATTGAAGTACTTGTGAAGGTCTTACTGATTCTGGTTTTGAGGATGGCTAATAAACAAAGTTATCTGATAGAAAATGAAAACAACAGGAGGAAAATGACCTTTTAGCTTTACCTATACAATGTTAGCTTTTATTTCTAGCTGGAAAACTACAGGTAGCTAATTTGATCTACCTACTCTACGAGTAGCTTTGATGGAGGCTCTCACGTCTGCTCACACCTTGATATATCGCCACTCTTTTGACGATGTGTTAACATCATATTTATCTTTTTCGATCACAGCTAGCCACACTGTACATGTTTGTGCAATGTTAGGCAGCCAGCGAAATATCACACCCTCGCTGGCGGATTTCTTATAATAGGTGCAACCAGGAATAGCACACCACACCATTGTCTCGCACGTTCGTCTCGTCGTCTCAAAGTCGCACCCTGTTTTTCAAGCTCTTAATGTAGGCCTTCCACTGTTTGATTGACAGCTGCCACTATCAGTTGGCTGCATTGTGGGTAATGTAGGAAATCGTCAACTGAAGTTAAAACGGAAAACTCTACGGCAGAATTTTATGGACGTGTTTTTTTTTTTTTGGCTGCTACTTTTATTTTGCTCCTTTTTTTTTGTCATCTTGTAGAATTTGGAATAGTGAATGAACCACAAGTTGATTTTTTTTAAACCTGGATTTTTAGTTGCAAAGTGGAAAAAGTTACTTATTTCACCTTTTCAAGTAAATTTGGTCTTGCCAATGCCCACTCACTCGCTAACTCTCCCCTATTACACGACATCTACCTGCTGGCGAGGATGGAGCTAGCATGTGCTTCCTCCGAGACACATGAAGCCAACCTCCACGCCTTTTTTCGAACCGCTGCTCATGCAGCATCACTCACACTCACACTCGGAGGAAAGCACTATCGGCCCTCTTCTGTATACCTGAGTTCAGAGATGCCTGCGATTGCCTAGTGTCCCTGTGAGTGACAGGGTAGAGCGTGTATGCCATCCCTCCCAGCCCGAAAGCACAGCCAATCTTGCTCTATTGGCTCCAGGCCATGGATGGCTGTGTCATCGTTAGGATACTTATCATCAGATATTGTCTTATCATCAGGTTTCTTATAACAAGAGCAGCCAGGAATGACTTACCGGACCATTGTCACATTCTGAAAACCGTCGAAAGTCTAA